CCTGTCCGCGTTCGGGGCGGCTGCGGGAGAGCCATTTTGTTTGGCCGCCTGACGGAGCGCGGGGCGAGGAGAGCCGCCGGTTTGGGCGAGATGCACCGATAGCATCTCCTCCTCAAAGGGCTGTGTTTAATCTAAACGCTGTAATGAGGCTTATCGGTGTGTACGCTGCATCCAGGAGTACCAGGACAAAGGGGAAACGTCGAGGCAGTGGGGTAGCGCAAGGTGCACTAGGTGCGATGGTGTAAAGGTCAGCTGCACAAAGCCTTCCCTGGCACCGCTGGCGCTGGGGAGGCTGTGGGGAGACGTGTGAGGACTGCAGCGTTTTCTGTCTTTTCTGGTCCTGCATGGCTGGGGATCTGACAAAGAAACCCTCAACCACAAGACCAAAACCTGCGTGCGCTTACCAGCAGTGACTGCACACGGTTATGCTTTTTACATCATGTTTACGATGCAGTTTGCAAAGTCTCAGGTGACGATATTACTGGCAGTTCCAGTTAAAAACAGAAATTGGTATACCAGTTCTCACTGATATTTGCATTTTATACAGGCGCACATCTCTCACAGGGCTTGTTTGACAATCTCTCTTTTTAATGCATGTAAGTGGCAACTGGGTCTTCAGAGCCTCTTTTTTTTTTTTCCCTTGGGGTCTTTAAAGCAAAAGAAAGTTAAAAGACTTTAACTTGTGGTTTCAAAGACCCTCATTGAGGATGTAAAATAGCCGAAAGCACGATTTAGAAATAAGTCAAAATTAGAAAAAGTTCTAAAATAGCTGCAATTTGTTTGCCAAATTGATTTCCTCTGTGAAGCAATCCAACCAGCTGCCCTAGAAATTTGCAAACATCCGTTTTGTAATAGATTTGCCATAAAGGCAGTAATAGTAATGTAGCATAAGAGTTCCAGAGTTATAAATTTAAATTTCAGCAGTGCACCATAGTTACTGGGTTAATTTTGTTTATGCCATGGCACTGCCAGTGAAATGAGTAATCGCTGTGTGCGTGGCAAGTATCGTACTTAAGTCATGCTGTCACAGCAATTCTTACATTAAGATTAGTTAAAGTAGTATAAATGAAGATGAGATATGCAGTTTGAGAAAATTGAAAGTATTCTTGAAGACTTCAGAATATGTTCTACCATGCAGCTGGCACAGTAAGATATACCACAGTAAGAACAAGAGGTGCTTTTCAAGAGTTAACTGCTGCTCGCTTGACCTTCCCACTAGATTTTTAGCATTGTGAGCTGTGGATGTTTTTGACAAAAAAAAGTCCAAAATGTTTACTCTCTCCCACAGAGTTCCACCATCTCTGCAGAGTTCCAGACCATACCCTTTCTTCGTTACAACATAATTTCAAGTACATCTCCCAAATAAAAATACAACATGCAGACAAGATTGGTTTTGTTGAGAAGCGTTATTTGTGCAGTATGAAAAGCAAGCAGCATTCCAAACATACCAAGTGATCCACAGAAGTAAAATTAAATGACGACTACAATTAAGATGTTCTAGGTTATTATAGCACGTGGTGCCAAAAAGTAAATGACAGTGCTCATGTTTGCCTCCTTAGCGGCTTGTGTGTCTTCACCCATCCTTTTCAAGGCCAGGATTTGTTCTACTCTCCCTTTAAGTTCTGAAAACCCAAGACATACTAAAAATGCTTCATGACATGTGTGTTATTGTAGTCTTGGTTATCTGTTTATATAATACCATAGAAACATGTACGGCACTTGGAGAAGGGTATAATTGGCAGGACTCCACCCTGAGGACTTT